ATTAATAAAGTATGCGATATCATTTTGGTACCTGAGCAGGCCAACAATCCAGGAATGATCCTAATCCCTAAAAAAGCTATATCAATGTAAGTATACAGTCTATCACCGAAATAATACCTTGACATTTCAGAATTTTATCTACCGCAGATTTCCCCGTAAAATCACCTAGAATTACGAAAAAAAAATTGATTTAAAAAAATATTTACTTTAGGCTTCATTCCATATCGTGAAAAGTACATTATCCGTTTATCCTATATCATTTCCCAAAGACAGGTGTAAACGTATTTGAAAAAAAAACAAATTCGATTTTATTTCACCGAGGTATTAGATTGTTCGACAGGAAGTTGTGAATTTTGACGTCTGGTTTATCGGTAAAATCTCGAACCTCATTTCAAATGCGCCAGAGCCGATCGTTTCTCGGGGATAACTTCATCGTGGTTACCCCTCGCCCCAAAACTCGACGATTGAGGCCCCATTAGCGGAAACACCTCGGCACGATCTTGAAGGATAAGTCCATTAGCTTCCGCCCGGCAGCCGGGCTCTTATCCTGGCATGGATCGCCTTAAAGTTACGGCTCGACCTCAAGATACCGCCGCGTATCTTTTCGCAGGACTCGCCAGGACTCGCCGGCGTTTTCCCTCTCGACTAACGACCGGGCCTTGTCCGACAAGCCAATTGGTAGTTACCGTTATAGCAGCATCGCCCCCCATTTGTCAGGACTCGAGCCCGCGAAGTGGCCAATAGCCTTTTTATTGCGTCGACTAGGGATTTTATTAGCGGCCCCCACCGACTGTCAAGATATCCCGCGTAACGAGAGAACAATCTTGTGACCGTTTTACTGCCAATTTTACGATTCCATTCAGACGAGGAGCCTTCCGGACGCTCGGTCAAAATTCTTTTGGTTGGCCCAGGTCACGGCCGCCGCGACGCGGTGTGTGAGAACGCGCCTTGGCAACATGGCTAGCTCCAACAGGGATTTATGCAAATTATTATAGCAAATCATTGTGCATAAAGATGATAAAGGGAATATACCCTTATCTCGTGAATGTTCTATGAATTTCGTTAAAAAAAAAAGTATGTTACACGAGACAAGACCCGCGGAATAAAGGTTTGGTCCATTCCAGAAAACGTATCGATCGAGTGAGCGTAATCTTAATGCACTTGGTTAAACACGTTTGTTTCAACAAATTAAAGGGTTTTGATCAAATCGTTTTTATTAATTTTAGAAAATGTTTCAGTCAATCAATTAGATATTTCGGGTATGTGTATCAAACTGGTTTAACATTCGGGGCAATCTTTTACGATATTTGATGTAAAGATTATTAACCATAGAATTCTGCCAAGTCAACCAGATATTTGTTTGTTCATATAACAGCCATGTGAAATGAGTCAACAGGGTTGAATCAACAAAAATTGTAATGATTCATCGATACATTTTTCTGCAGGTAAAGAACACCTCTATTGCATGCATGTCCATGAAAGTTTCACGAAGAAAAAAATATATATATTTCACGCGCGTTGGATTTATCTTTCAATGAAAAATATATTCCTTGCAAACCACGTCCTAATAATTGCGTTACCGGATCCGTTCACAAGAATCGTGGTCAAGGTAAACCGGGGTTACATTTTATTACACGCAGAGTCAATAACCGCGATCTGAATTCCATTTTCGAAATGGAGTTACATGCCGCTTTCTTCGAGAAGTAATATAAATCGAAAGCCTGTAAATTATATGGGAGCAAAATTGAAAATGTTCCGCATTGCTTTAATCCCTTTTTATTTATACTTTCAAGTCTGTTTTTAAGAGTTTACGGGTGGATAATCGAGCATCCGTGCACCGGGGCCAATTTTCCTTGCACTCACCTCCGTGCATCTTCGTTTTCTCTCGTATGAAATAAATTCGAACAACGGCCTCAAATTAAAGGTTCACGCTCGACAACTCCTCGAGTTCCAACAGCCGAAAAACACCTGTCGACAGGTGGCGGTTCGGACTTACCGATGCGTCAACGTTTCCGACGCGGAATAGGTTCCGGTGCGCTCTCACCCCAGAGAATACCGGAGCACCTTTCCGTTGAATAAGAGCTCGAAATCGAATGCTCGATCATCGAGCATTACGAGAGACCCAAGGAAATCATCGATTCTGCCGGTCACGTACTTGGCAGCCATTACGAGAACCGTAAAAAGAAAGGGAAAAAAAAACAATTTAAAATGCTTCCTTTCGGAGTCTACGTTTAAGAATTCATTAATCAGTTAAAGAACGCTCCTTTGACGACTAAAATTCTTTAATCCTTATCACTCCAACCGGCAGTTTTGCCAACTTCTAACACTCTTTTAATATTCTTGGAGCGATAAGGGTTAAAGCAAAATTCATTGTAAGGACATATTGTATATTAAATCCATAAGTATGAATATTTTTACAAATATTATAAAAAAAATCACACAATCAGGGACTCGATTTTCGAGTTCATACAATCAATTTTCGCATGCGAAATTAACAGTCTCGTATACGATTTTCAAGTGTCGACCAATAATGCGACTTCGCAACAATGCAATATTTTTTATGCCAATCTATTCGTATGGGAAAAAAATTCGCGTCAACTCGAGAATAGGAGTCCTGGTACTTGGTTTCCTTTACAGAAAAGAAAAATGAAATAGAGAATTTTCCTTTTGAAGGTCAATGTCCAAAGATTGACTAATCATTAAAATACATCTGCTATCGATGATCAATGTTTTCCAAAGAAATTCACCGCAAGGATATCTCGTCAAATATATGAAATTCAAACGTATAAGTATTTTTAACAATACAAGCGCAAAATCTAGATTTATCGATGCTTGCCGGTAGTGATATATGTTAAGTTGAATTATTAGCGCGTACGAGTAGATGTTAATGTCACCTGTAACGCGATCACCAGAACCCGTTTATTAAATCATATCGATTTCCGCAAAAAAACTGAATAGAAGCAGACGTCTAACGGCCGATTTCCGGATCACACCGTGCAGAGCTCGGGGAAAGATCGATTATCGAATACCGGACTAATCGACCTCTTCTTCGGCGAATTCTACGGGTATCCTTACAAGACGTTTCCTTTTGAATTGCGTATACCGGTACCTTCCTTACATGTGACCGATATAATTGGCCTAACGACGTCGCGTCACACTTTTCTTACCTAGGGAAGTAGCAATGACGATTACCATTAACACCGAAGTTAATTTTTATAGACCATGAAGATGAAAAGGACGAAAATGGTGCAGAAAATGTTTAAATTTCTTAAACGTATTATAACCATACATTGTAATTATTCGCATATAAAACGTATCATAACTAACCACATATGAAAAATTACGAGCAAAACATAAACTTTCGTTTATAGTCTAAAGAATAAAAATTTCAAAATGACTTCCGACAATCCGCCTTGAATTGATGATTTCGTGTTCGTCCGTTTACGTATTTTATTCCGGAAAAGGGAACTCTTTTCTTTTTCGATCATTTATCTCGGCAGGGTAGCATTAGTAAAAGTACCGGGAATGAATGCAGAAGCGAATAAAACAATGTTTTAAAGTGTAGTTTTACCTACGTGCGCGGGTACTCGATGCCATTACACGGTTCACGCTTTGATGTACTCTAAAGAATTGCAGTGCCTAGTCATTAAGCGTGAAAGAGCCGTCACTTTCTGATAATTTGTGATTTTGATTTCCTTCTTCATTAGGGTGTCCGTAACGTGCCGTCAAGGAAGTCATCGAACTTTACGAGTGCTCGAGTCATCGATCGAGTCATTAAAGACGGTAAGAAATCTCAAGCGATCGGTCGATCGCTTTCTCGCAATTGCCTGAATCGATACGACTGCCTGGATTATATCACGAAATGAGTTTCTCATTCTCGAAAGGAAAAGGTTCTTTTCAATTTCGTTTGAATCATCTTATTTGAATTTCTTTTCAAACTCGCGGCTATTTATTCGATCACCTTTTTTCCCTCCATCCAAAGTTTTCATTACCATTTTAAACACACTTGACGTTGTGCCACCTTTCTTTGATTTTTTAGACGTTGTTTTTACTATTTATTTAAATTCGCATTATTCAGTGATTTCACGAGAATGGTATTTGAAAGAAAAAAAGATTCGTCTTTGAATTTTTGTAATAGATTCATCATTTACGTTTTAAAGCTATCCATGTGACGTTCACTCCTTAGTTTAGATTAATTCAATGTAAAAAGAAGTTTGTTCATTGTAACATATAAAATAGATTCCTTTAGTTCCAAAATACGTTTCACATTTTCTTCCCTTAAAGTATTATTCGCCTAGCGATCTCTTCAGGTTTTCCTCCCTTTCGATGATTTCTAATTGACTTCATCCGCAATTCTTTCCGTTTTCCTATGTTTCTTAAACCTCCAGTTCCTAAATTTCCCCTTCGTTGATATTTTCCCAATACGTTCGTCATCTTCACCTCCTCCCCGACAGTCATATCGGGTCTCTTCGTGAACTCCCCAACGTTCTTCGCGTGTTCCATCAACAGGGTCTCCCGCTTCATTTAGCCGTCTTCCCTCATCGCCAGCTCCATCTGCCTCTCCTTCGTCTAGGCCTCACAAATCCTCATTTGCTCCTTTCTCCTCAACCCCCTCTTCTCGACGAGCCCATCCAACGCATCCCTTTACCTCAACGTTCTGACCCACGAGGTGAGCCTTGCGATCCTCCCGTCCAGCAACGCTCGGTCCATCGCGTCCTGGTCGACCTCCCTGTTAAGGGCGATTTGCTCCTCCAGTCCTTCCACCCACTTCGTCATTCGTCGCCCCCTCATCAACACCATAGAAGAGCATAATACCAGAGCTTGTACGATGCAACATATAAAATAGACTTCTTTTCTTAAAATACTTTTCACTCAATTTCCTTCTTTGAATGTTTTCCTCGCGCAACGTTCTCTTCAGGTTGTCCTTCCTTTCAATGGCCATAAATGATCCACCTCCCCAATTCCTTTCACCTTCTCACGTTTCCTAATCTTCCTTTTCGTTAATACTCCCCCAACACTTCCGTCATCTTCTCCTCCTCCTCGGCAGTGATATCGGGTCTCCTCATGAACTCCCCAACGTTCCTCGCGTGTTCCATCAACAGCGCCTCCCTCTTTCTTCTGACGTCTTCCCTCATGGCCAGCTCCATCTGCCTCTCCTTCTCCCACGTCTCGCGAATCCTTCTCATCTCCTCCTCCCTCCTCGACCTCCTTTCCTCGACGATCCTGTCCAGCTCGTCCCTATACCTCAGCGCCTGCCTCTTCCTGGCCTCCGAGGTGAGCCTGGCGATCCTCTCGTCCAGCAAGATCCGGTCCATCACGTCTTTGGCAAACCTCCTCTCCTCGATCAGCACCCTCCACCTCCTCTTCTCGTTGAGGGCGATCTGCTCATTGAGGCCCTCCACCCATTTGACCGTGCGCCACCACCTCTTCAACTCCTCCTCCCTCTCGAGCATCAACGCCTCGCACTTGGCCTCCTCGGCGACCAGCTCCATCAGAGCCTCCCTCCTCTCGACCCTCCACGAGTTGACGTCGACGACCCTCCTGGCCACCTCCTCTATCAACGCCGCCCTCCTCGACCTTTGCTCCTCCGTCAACCTCCTCAACTCCTCTCTCCTCTCCTCCACCTTCTCACGATGCCGCCTCCTCCACTCCTCTTCCTCCGCCTCCCTCTCTTCCTCCTTCGCCCTGCGGATCGCCTTAACCTCCTGGAATATTATGCTCTCCTTCGTCAACTTCTCCCTCTCCTCCTCCCTCGTCAACCTCCTCCTGGCCTCCTCGTCCTCCCCCCGTATCCGGTCGACCTCCTCCAGCACCACTCTCTCCCTGCTCTCCTCCACCTCCCGCGCCCTCCGGGCCGCCTCCTTTAGGGATATCTGCTCCTCCAGCAGCCTCCTGTACTCCTTCGCCCTCCCCGTCACCTTCTCCTTCCTCCTGCGCTCTTCTTCCGCTTCCTTCGCCTCGACGAGGTCGGCTGCGCGTCCCGCGTTCCTCTCCTGGATCCTCTCGAACATCCGATCGGCCTGCCTCTCGATTATCTGCGCTTGAAGGACCTTCACTATGTACGCGTTCCGCAGGCTCTTCTCCAGCTCCTCTAGGTCGTCCGTCTCGGCGTAGCGAAGCCTCCTTCGGGACTCCCTCGCGATCTTTTCCTCCTCGCTGGGAGCGGTCCATCTCGTCATCTCGTCGAGGTCGGCCTCGTCGACGTCTTCGAGACCGAGAGTCGCCCCCACCGTCTCGGAATCGCCTTCCGAGCTCAGCATCGTCACCCTCTGTAGTTTAGACTTGCAATTCGCCCTCTCCTTCTCTCGGGGTATTTTTCATCTCCTCCCCACTTACGATCGGAGGGGATGGCGAAAAGAGCCCGCGAGGGGAGAGTCGCTTCTCGCTTGGAGGTTCACGAAATTATGGGGTTCCTCGAGGATGTTTTTCGATGGTGAATATTGAATTCGAGGCCGATATATCGAGCGGGAGTTCGGAAAGGGGATATTGTCGCGTACGAGCGACAGAGAGGGGGCGTGTCTGAAACAGAAAATTATTCCCGAACGCGATCACGATACACTCGATACTAATGGCGGTGCATTCCCTAAAGGCATATCGTCCGGGGGAGGGGAAGATGCACGAGGAGTTTACGTGTTCCCATTTAATTTGCATGATTTAGCGAACAGTTATTGTCTCCCCGCTTGCACTAATCCGATGCCGAGTCAGGCTAGCTCGGGTTTAATATTTTACTTTCAATATTTCCGACCGAGTCGTTAATTGACTTTCTGGAGTTACACGGCAGTTCGATTTCTTGTGCGCTTGTTCCCTCGATTTGTTAAATCATGTTTCCAGGACTATTGACCGCTGTATATTGTTATCTTCGGAGCAATATATTGTCTCGGTAAAGAACGACCTTCCATCCGCCATTCGAAGTAAATGGTCAAATCGATAGACAAGAAACGTTTCCCTCGTGATATACCGACTTCTATGAACTTCATCGAAAGTAGCTAACATAGTCGTAATAACGTGTTTACAAGAAAGGGTCGTCCGATTTACGGAATATACCGATTTAGCGCGACACAATCTTACCTTAAACGTTATTCCGTAAAATAAAAATAAACTAATAATCCTCTAACTACTCATTTTTTTCTGAATTGATTGAGAAAATGGAAACATTAAATAGTACACCCAGAATTTCAAAATGTTAAGACCGCACTTGACAGATAAAAACATTCCCTGGGAATATATTGACTTACATGAACTTTGTTGAGACTCGCTAATATTGTTGCAATCAAATGTTTACAAAAAAGAGTCGCCTGTTGTACAGAATATCCCAATTTAACACGATGCAACCTTAATTTCAACATTATACCATAGAATAAGAATGGACTAATAATTCTATAGCTATTAATCACTTCCTAGATTAATACAAAATGTATTCTTTAAATCATAGAGTTCACGAGTTGATCACCCAAGTCAAATCACTTGCATTCTGAATTTCCCAATTTTAAGATACTCTTAATTCCGTTTAAAATTCTCCTCACTAGAAAGTACATTTACGCACTATTGCCAAAGATCGCCGAGTCCAGGTTACAGTTTCTTTTGATACAAATATGCTACTTTGGAGTAAGGCCTGGTTTAGAGGTTAAGCTTTGTTACGGTCCTAACGGTAAACGGAGTGCGTAATTGGTATCGACATTCAAGACGGTTAGATTCCATTCCAGTAAATACACGAGTCTCGAATTGATTACTGTTTGTTGCAAGAACTGGAAACAATTCCGATACTACCGATTCCTAGAATTTACGTCCTTCTCAAGACTTCCTACTATTCAAATAATACATGTAAAATTCTTACTTCATACCTCTTTAATACAATGTTCTCAAATGTTCACTTTCAAGTAACACGTGCTTTGAAGGCATGAGAAAACGTATGAATAGTAAAACTATGAAAACGATCACATGTAATTTCAATACCAACTTTTCATCTTACGATTTTTCATAAATATTTCGTAGATTTAAGTAATTCACGAAAAATATGCTACCCTATATCGATAACAAGATACGAAAATGAGTAATACCTCTGAATCGCGATAAAATAAAATTCTAGAATACTCTACTTTCGTTATTTTTATGTAGAAGAAGAAAGTGGAAAAAGAAAAGACGGGATGACTCCGTTATCGCGTTCCAACTCAATGAGCCGGTTACTCCGAGAATAAGCATTTCACGAATTTTTATACCGTTTTACTTTCAAGACATTCATTGTGCATGCATAAGTATGAAATAAAACCATAGTAAAAAAAAAGTAGCTTCGTTATATTCTAAACCAACAGTGATCAATAATTAACGAACACTCGAAAACAAGCGGGAAAATACGTAATCGAGCGCGCAACTGCAAGTCGGCGAAGAATCGAATTTCTCCTGTTTAACCAATTCCGGGAAGCTTTCTCTATATTTTTTTTTACCGCGCACTTCCACGCGCCGTCGCGCCCGATCCGTCTTTCGCGCCACCTCTTGCGCACACGCGACCGTCCGCGCAATTTATCAGATCTTATCGAGGATCGTTCAGGAATTATCCGAGAGTAATCTTCGTGCCCCTGAGGGCTCTTAACGGACGCTTTACCTTTTCTCGGCCTTCCGGGTCGCCTTGGCTCCCTCGATGTCCCGAAACTTCACCAACTGATCCAACTCCCCTTTTCGTAATTACGTAAACTGGTTCACATCGATCCCGCGTTTCGACGATTCGCGGGCAGATGGCGGTGCAGCACTGGCGACGGCGTTTGGAGGTTAGGTCGACCGGCACGGACGAGGTCACGTTGAAATCGGCGACGCGCGGGTTCGATCCCCGGAGACTGGAGGCGCATGCGCGACGTACTTGTGGCGCGCGCGAACCGTGACCCGAGCACCGCCGCGGACCGAGTTGGACTGACCGGGTTTCCGCCTCGCGGCGCGCGAAGGGACCGCCGTGAGGCGGCCTCTTTGAACGCTGCGTTCCCATTGGCTCGCTTCGGGCCCGACTCTACCATACCGTAGGGGCGCGGGCCTCTACAGGTGTTGCCGGATTGGGATTTTATCCCCAAATCTGGGCGATTTGGGAGTTTAGAGTCTAACTAGTACTAGATGTACTAGATCTAACGGTACTAGATATCTGGGAATTTTAATTCTGGATGGAGACAGAAAGAAGCTAGAAAGAGCTTCGGAACGGATCAATTTAGAATGACTAATAGGTATATACGACACGCTTAATGTCGTTTAATTATTCGTCGTCGTCGTTTAATTAATGTCGTTTAATTAGCCGTGTAGTCTACGCATAATTTGTAGGAATCTGTATGTTTGCGTAAAAAGAGACACTTAATGCCGTTCAATGCTAATCTACACGTAATGATTAATGAAGTACAGTAAACTACCGTATAACGCGAATTCCTATAACGCGCTAAAGATATTGCGATTACTGTTTTCATCTAACGCAACTCTTTGTACAACGCGCCAAATAATGAAACACATTATATGCGTTATACGAGAAAAATTCCCGTACGGCACGACTTCCTATAACATGAATTCATATCCGAGACGTCAAGAACTGCCTCTGGTAAAATTAAATAGTATTTTTCGGACGCATTAAATTCCGTTTTATATGTATGTCAAGGGGTTAACATTGCTTCTTACCGGGGTGGCCATTCTCAGCTATTCGAAATTTACCGTACCCCTCGTAACCGTGTTTTATGTATTACTACAGAGTAATTTGTCTCTTTTAATCAAATGTAACGCTGATTATGGATTTAATTTAAATTTTGATAAGATGCACGGTAAGTAGGAATAGTATACTACTAACCCACACGGAACAACTACATATGGTATACGTATATAGGATATCAGGCTAAAATATTCAGATGTGTAATAGATGTATACAAAAGTATACGGAAGGTGCTGGGGCATGTACAAATGTCCGCCCCGTCAACATATAGTGTATATGTATTTTTGAACATTCAACTTTGATTTAATATACATTCCATATGGATAAAATATGTATATTATATGTAAACAAGATATATGGTAGACGTATATAAGATATCTGACACACACGTGTATACGTATAATAGACCAATAAATAAAAGTTTCAATAGATGGTATGCCTATATTCAAAAGTTCAACAGCCGTACACTGGACATATTATTCACGTAAAATATTATATGTATTTTACACATATATAAGACGTATTCCAAATGTAGGTGGAATAATTTAAAAAAGTATTATTTATTTTGAACTGAATGCATTTTTTTTTAGAAACAATTTACTATGATCTGTTCAGGGACCTGAAATATTCGAGATATACAAACATCTAACATTGAAAAAATCCCCATGGCGGTGATCGGGATTCAAACCCGAATCATTTAGGTAACAGACCCCCATAGTAGTGCTGACCACTGAGCTACCGTAGTCCTATGGATTATGCGATACGTTTCGCATATTCAAACACCACAGTAATAAGTTTAATTGAAATTTGGTTTAATCCATATCATTTATATTGCCAATCTCTGACAAAAAAAAGGACATGTATATAAGTTTTATATATATTCCTTGCAAATACTTGTACTTGTATAAAAAAACCGTCGCGGCCAAAACGATATGTCTCGTGACATCATTTTGATTTTGTATGAGCTTCACTTTCAGTCTGCAGTAGTCAGGTCGCACACCAATGAAGCATATAACAAACATGCAGCAAAGAAACATTTAATGTACCATGTTATTTGAATACATCTAGGCACGTATTATAAGCATTTGTTATATGATATACTTTATGGGTAGAAATAAATTTCCCTGTGTGTTTGTTATTATACGTATGTAATATGTATGTACGTCATATGTATACGGCAAATTAATGTTCATTTCCTTATTATGTGACATGTCAGACACAAGTGCGCCTTAAATAGAAGTATATTATACGTTTAGTATACGTCGTTTATTTGTGAAATCGTGGTTGCTCTAGGAACGTATAAAGTACATATATCAAACATACAAGTAAAATAATTTATATTTGTTTACATAGAATGTACGTATATTTTACGTCCGTGACAGATCAATTTTTCGTTCTTTAATATACACACAACATACGTACATTATATGTCTTTTGCATGTGTAATATCGCAGATACAGGAGTCAATTAAATAGAGATGTATCATACGTTTATTAAACGTATTTAATTGGTGAATATGTAGATACTGTAGTAACGTATAACATGCGTATATCAAACATGTGAGTCAAATAATCCATATTTACGTACATA